CAAAAAGCAAACCGAAAAGATGCTAGGCTCTAAGAGGTGGAAACCAGTATCAAAATTTAAGTAAAAAGGGACACATATGTAATTTCTTCCCATCAGCAAGGTCAGAAACGACAGTATAGTATGATACTATTTTGAAAATTTATGTGCAAAACTATAAACTACCAAGAAATAACTGAATTTCCTTTTCTCCTTAACAGTAGAAAAGGTTCCAATAATCTACTTTCTGTATCAGTTTACTCTTTATAAATTAGTGAGAAATGAAATTATTTGAACCTTTAGAAAACATAACACCCATCTTAACAGAATCTGTTTTAAGTGGAATTTTACCTAGACGTTCTTACAATTGAAATCTTAAGAAAACCATTAAAACAAAGCAGTGCAGACAGACACTTATGTAATGGTACCACAGATGCCAGCAAACGACATCCACACAAGGTCAAGGCCACCCTGCAGCAGCCTTCTACGAAAGCCCCAAACCTTAAAACTACAATTAGACTTCACAAGATCCAAAACATTAGTTTATACTGAGCCAAGATTAGGAAAACCTTCCACAGCTGCATTTTCATGTTCTTAGTTTTTCGATCAAATAATCAGCCTGTAATAAAAAGAAAAAAAACACATTGTTACTCTAGATATCAGAGCCTCTTTCCAACAGCTCTGTTGGCATTCCTCTTATATTAAGCCATGCCAGTAAAGCAGGGTACGATATATCCCACTTGTAATACTACCTTACTCCCCCAAAACCCATAAAACATCTTACAAAAAAACTAATAATTTTTATGAAACTACAGTAAGGGTATTCCACATCATCTATGAATAGGCAGATTGTGAGCTACATAATTTTTTTTTTCTGGTACTGGGAATCAAACTCAGGACCTCACATTTGCCAGGCAGGAACAGTGTCACTGAGCTACATCCCCGACTCCCACTACATATTCATTTAAAATTTTGTAATAAGAGGAAAAAACTAAATATATTGTTTTTTTAAAAAAATAAATAGTACGAGTTGGGCATGGTGGCACACGCATGTAATCCCAGCACTCAAGAGGCAGAGGCAGGAGGATCACTCTGAGTTTTAGGCCAGTTTGGGCTACAGAGTGAGACCCTATCTCCAAAACACAAAAACAAAAATAAATTTGAAAACAAGTTCATTAATGTGGAGGAAACGTAAATGCCATGAGTAAGTGAAAGGAGCCAGTGTGAAAGGCTGACTGCATGAGTCCAGGGGGAGACACTGAGGCGGTCCGGAGGTAACAAGGGGCAGAGGAAGCTGGGCTGGGCGCCCAGCAGGCAGGGCTCTCAGGGCAGGGAGGTTATTTTGTCTGACACAGTGCTGGACACAAGCCATGCCCCAAAGGTGCTGCACCAAGCGAGAACGCTGAGAACAGGTCTGACACAGATCATCGGACACGGGAGGACAGGGCACTGGGACGGTCACTGGGCGCCGGTCCCACCGAGCCAAGCGAGCCCCGCAGCGGCGGAGACAGTGGCAGTGAGGGCGCGTGTACAGCACACTCGGAGCTCCACACCTGCACCCCACGCTGCTGAGAACCTAAACCTGCTCTGGAAGATAAAACTGGTTTTAAAAGTAAACCATAGGGTCGGGGATGTACCTCAGCCGTGCTGCCGCCTGCCTCGCAAGCACAAGGTCCCGAGTTCATCCCTGTACTAAGTAAACCACAGAGCCTTTCTCAATCACCTCTTATAATGTGGAACGCTAGAGAAGAGATTTTCAAAAAAACTCCAGTAACTTTACCTTGGCTGTTTTGGTCAAAATCAGTTTTTTTTTTTGATCGAACTCAGGACGTTGCACTTGCGAGGCAGGTGGCAGAACCACTGAGCTAAATCCCCGGCCCCAGAGTCCCAGTTTTAAGAGTGGTTCAGACTCTTAAGATGAACCACGGACAGATTTGTCATTTCCCACTGAAGGTGTATGTAAGGTAATGCTCTCCACCACTGAGCTGCACAAACGGCCCCAGAATGTGTTTTGATTCAATTTTTTCTAAGAAAACAATGTGATGCTTTCTAATTTCCTCTGTACTCTGACCAATGGCAAATAACTGCTGCTTGATTGTTATTCAGACGTAGCAGTTACTGGTTCCCCTAATACCACGGACACATGAGACAAGAGGCTGGTGAATTCCTGTCAAGTGGCCCAGAGTCAACTAACAATGACAACTGGCACACCACAGGCCTATGAGAAGCCGTTTCAGTCCACTTCCGCCTCCACAAAGCACAATTTTGTAACTTTCAGGCTGAAAGCTTCAACCTCAGGTCAGGCAGCTCATGCCGGTATCAAAACCCCTTTGTTATGGGGCTCAAACTGACACCAAAAATCACAAAAGCTCGATTTCTACGTTGATATTGATTACGAGGACAGAAGTGGCAGGTGACTTTCACCAAGCGCTATTTCTTCCTTCTGCAGGGCTGGGGACACAGCTAAGCAATGGCTTAGCAGGGCCTTGCGCTGCGTAGCAGGTGCTCTAGCGCTGAGCCACATGCCCAGGCCTGCAAGGCCCAGCCCACGAACTGTCTCAGCACTGCCTCTCCGCTCTCCAAGGGGGCACTGTTACCCGTGTGCCCAGAAAGGGATGAGCCTGACCCGGGGTGTAGCTCACGGTAGGGTGCCCGCCTAGCACGCACCAGACCTTGGGCTCCATCTCCAGCACCGCAAAAGAAAAGCACCTGCACCTTGAAATGTGTATGCAATTTGTACATGGTGTCTTAGTACACAGTGGGTCAAAACCATAACACAGGGTACCCAGATCGGACTCGAGTCTGAACTCCTGACGTCAGGCTTTTCTACTTTATGAGTTACTTATAATGAGGAGTCTCGGCCATGGATTCTCTTCCTAAAGATCTGGCGGCCTGGAAAATCCCTACACTCGGTGGCTTAAACAAGAGGTCAAACCCAGGAGAGCTTTAAATGTCTCGTGTTGCCGAGAAAGCACAAACCTGCAACAAAAAGGACAAATGACGGAAATGCACTCGTGTGCTGCTGCTAAGTGATACTTACCGTGATGAACCAGTAAGAATTCACTCTGTAAACCAACCTGGAGAGGAAGCCAAGCTGGCTGACTGGCGCCAGGACGTGGAGGTGCAGGTGGGAGATGGATGAAAAGGGCGGTACGTGGAAACCCATCCTGCAACAGGAGGTGACACCACGGTCACTGCGACTCTCCAGGGGCAAACACGAAGATGCTGGAGACACACCCAGCAGGACAGACACGCAGGCACTCATAACCTTTGGTGATTTTTTTGTATATATTTCAGAGCAGTTTCACTGTTCCTTTTCACATTAAAATGTGTAGTAATAAAGTGTTTATCAAAGACCTTCAGAGCACATCGTGCCTCAGAGAGCCTTCCTAAATTCTAAGCTGACATTCTTATCCCTGCAGGCCCTATCCGTTTACACTTTAACTGCGTGAATCTAAAAGCAGTGCTCCGTCACTGCAAGACGCGGCCAGCAGGTGGCGCGCCTTCTCCTTGAGTAACACGCACAGACGTCCGTGCCAACCAACATTTCACAAAGGATGTCAGTCATCACAGCGTTTAACAAACTTCCTTTTATGTGGCAGTGGATTTTAGGCAAGCTTTCTAGCAGCTACATCCCCAGTTCTTTCGAGACAAAGTCTTAGTAAACTGCCTGGAGTGGCCATGACTCGCAGTTCTGCCTCGGCCTCCAAAATAGCTGGGATGCAAGTGTGCACCATCACGCCCAGCAGCACCTAAAGTTCCTTATGTAATACTATTCATAACTGCTTATTTTATAAACCAGTAAGAGCCTTAATTAGAAAAAAGTTATTGCACTGTTGCAAGCCCATTTATGCCGAATGGACAGGGACAGCGGAAAAGGACTCAGCTTCTCAAGCCAGAAGCAATGTGGACTGGGAGGGAGGCACAGAAGCAGGGCCACCACACGGCCGAGACGCTCGGGGACCACCGAGGTGAAGTCAGACCTGCAGCGGGCAGCGGGCAGCGGAAAGCTTCTCTCACTACCTGGCAGAGGGGATTAGGTTTTCCGTGTGAAACACGAGCCTCAGGAAGTGGAATCAATCTAGAAGCCATTTCAAAGATAAAAACTTAAGAGCGGGGCACAACAGCACAAGCCTGTGATCCCAGCTACTTGGGAGGCTGAAGCAGGAGGATCATGTGAGCATAGGAGTTCAGGACCAGCCTGAAGGACACAGCTCAAAACACAAAAAAAATGAGACCTTCCAGGGTCACAAAGTGAGAAGTGAAACTCAAACTCAGGCTCCTTAAGTCAGTGTTCATTCTTCGATCAGCGCGGCTGCACCCAGGCCAGAGCTCTCAGACGGACGGTGCCGGTCCCCCGCCCTACCTCGCCCTCGGATGAGGCTCAGGGCTCGCAGAGGGCCTCCCTACACACCGGCTCGCTGGAGCCTGCAGGGCGCACAGCAGGCGTAACCCGGAGCGGCCAAAGCACTGACCACACTTGTGCCATGGGCAGCGTGCGCATTCAGGGCCGTACTGGCTCAGGAGCAGGACAGGGAACCGCCTCTCCCCCTGCCTGAGAACTGCCCACCGGACGCAAGGTAAACTCTTAATCTCTGAAAGTCAGAGCGCTGTTTAGCTTCAACAGTTACCTGCACGTTAGGTGCTTTAGTTCCAAGTTTGGCAAATAATTCAGTAGAGAGTGATTTCAAGTTACTTTCATGCTAGAAAACTAAGGACGTATTTTTAAATCATATCAAAGTTTGTCTAAGAAAATTCAGTCTACATAAACCAATAGGAATTCTCATATCGAAAGAACAAAGAAAAGAGGACTTCTGACGCCTCAGCTATCCTAACAAAAAATTCAGTGGTGTAGCGCTGATTTCTTCTACATTTACACACCTCACATCTGTGAAGTCTGTGACATTGTTCTTTTCAAGGATGGCTTTTCCAGCAGTTACCATGCTCTCAACTGTAAAACAGGAAAAAAAAAATTATACTACGTGACTCATTAACACCATCTCAAATGAGTAATTTTCTTGTTTTGTTTTTTGTTTATTTTGGGTGTTTTCTGGTTTTTTTGTGTGTGGGTGGGTGCTGTGGGGACTGAACCCAGGGCCTTCACCCTGAGCTACACCCCCAGGCTGGGCTTGAACTTGAGACCCTCCTGCGGCAAACACTCAAGACAGCCTTAAGTTACCCAAATGGAAGGGCAGATTCGAGGAGAGTCCCGGTGCAGTCATCTTCACAAAACACCATGCATACAAACCGGCCGTGGACAGCTGCTCTCACGGCTGAGGTCAGAGTCAACTGAGTAACTAAACAGAAACTGTCTGCATTAAGAGGGAAGTGTGCTCACGACAGCATTCCTCACAACGGCCAAGACACTAAGTTAACCTGCCTGTCTATCAGTGGTGGATGGAGTGTCTCTATGTGTATCCGTACCAAACAAAACGCCCTTCGGGCTCACACACAACAAGGAAAGCAAGCCTGCCACTGGTGACCATGGCGGGCCCAGAGGGCTTTCTGCCTAAAGGAAATCCATGGTGGCAATTATGGGCTGTGTGTCACACCCTCTCCGGAGCAGCCACTAACACAAAGGAACAGCCAGGAGGGGAGACCGGCCTGCAGGCCACCGCCCTCTCACCCAATCCCGAGTGGTCTCTCTGGAGCTCTCTGCAGCTTCGGATGTGCTTCCTTGGCACCACGAGGTAATGATGAGGCACCGCTGGTCTGATGTCTCTGAAGCAAACCAGGTCTTCATTCTACAGGGAAAACAAAACACACACGCTGGCCAGCTCTCAAAGGCGGTGTCCCAACTCTGAACACCACAGGTTTTGGCCCTTTCATTACAAGTCAGTGCCGTTGAGCCTTTTCATGATTTGGCTTCATATTTATAAAAACAAGCACTAGATGGTTCTTTATTCCAAAGACTGAAAACCTTACCTGGGGTAATTTTAAGAAAACAATCATGTGTAAAGTTCGCTAAACCTTCATTATCAACAGTCTCGTGTTCAACCTCAAGACACATTTCCCATCCCGCCATTAAGCTAGGTCTTTCCGCGCTTGCTGTGTACTTGTAGTAATGATCTGACTGCAGATTCACAGCCAGAGCAATAAATCCCTCGTCGCATTTTCCCCAAAGTAACGTTTTCCTCAACTGTGACAAGAATATCATTCAGCACCTACGCATCCCGGGACTACACTTGTGAGCAGTTTAAAGCAAATGTACATAAGTACACTCTCTCCACGTCTGCTGCACATGCACAGGAGTGGCTTTGCGCTGCTGAAATAGCCTAGTGTACTGGGATGATTTCTGGGCAGAGCGTGGCATCAGTTTTGGACTCTGAGGTCCTCCACAGAGCGACAGAGAGGAAAAAAGCAAAGGAAGGGAGAGTTTCAACCTATGAACACTGAGGCTTCTGCTTTGCCAAGAGAAAAAGTACCCTTCCTAAAAACTTTAATTACTCACTCAGCTAAAAACACAAAGTCAAGGCTTGGCGTGGTGGTGCACGCCTGTAATCCCAGCACTTGGGAGGCTGAGGCAGGAGGGTCGCTGTGAGTTCGAGACCAGCCTGGGCTACACAGTGAGTTCCAGGTCAGTCTCAACTACATAGTGAGACCCTGTCTCAATAAACCAAA